TCTCCAGATGGTCAATCTTAGTGTGTAAAGAGCTATGTGTGTTAAAAAGATTTCTTATTTTCCATTTTTCTCTCAAACTACTGGTTCAAATGAAAAAATAATTTCAGAATCATGATTACCATCTTCGTAAGTATATATGTTGTCATTTCCAGCAAAAACGAATGGAAAAAGATACGGGAAAGATAACGGCGCCATATTATATGGAAGATTTGAACAATCGATTGAGGCATTTCCAGCACATAGTTTAGACAAGTAGACTATATCATTGGTCTTAGTGTATAAAGCCAGACGGTCACTTCTCATTGTGAGTTTTATACACGCCGTGCATTCTAGACGGTCACTCAGAATCTACTTGGCGTTCACTTTATGTGTGTCATTTACACATTTTATTTTACAGTGTGCTGTTTCTGAAATTAGCAAGCAGATTGAATGTTATTTAACAGTGAATAAGTTTTGATTGCTGTCCTAAAACACGTCTCAAAAGAGAGCTTTAAACATTTTTATTTGCAATTTGAACTTTATCTCAGCTACATTTTGCTATAATATGGCATGTCGAATTAGTATAGAGGTGCTACTTCGCATGATTTCTTAATAAATATAATTTAAATCAAAATACTGCGAAATTTCACATTACTCAAATGCCAGATGCCGGTTCTCTTTGAGATCAGCTTCGATTTGTTACTCAATTTTGGATATAAGCAAATAGAGTGAACAGCATTGTAATCATGATATGGGCTTCCTTACTTGTAGAAGAGTAAATTTCAACAAACAGTTATTTCCGAAATGAATGTTTCAAGTTTTGTGCATTTGTCCTTCGTAGGATTATTACTCAACGTAACTATTATTGACCAAAATCCTTCATTATTTCAGGAATCTATATTTTAACACCTACTGTTTTTATCAAACATCATAACCGATATAGATAGTATTTTCTCAGGTAGAAAAATCCAGTCGATTAATGTTCGGGCTATATCAAAAATATAACTTGATAGAATACAAAGGGATTGCACTTGAATAAATGGATTACGATTTTTTTCCTGCTGAATGTCCAATCACAAATTAAGTCAAGGTTTTTCATCTCTCTCTCGCTCTTCAAATCATAAAAAAATCAATTTTATCTACCATTATGAAAGTCTTNTCTCCTTTTTCTATTGTTATTTTTAGCTAAAAACAAGCTAGATTAATCGCTGAGAAAAAAAAGATAAAATACCGCAAAAACACAAAAATGTACTGTGGTTACTAATTTCACGCTCGATTAAGCATATCAATTAATGCTAGACTATTTAATCTCAGAGTTTTCAGCACATTATTCGCACTTGACGATAAGACAAATCAGTGAAACAAAAATTTATCAACATTACATAATACTGCCATCATGGTTGATTACGCCTTTCAACAAGCAGATACAAACAGAGATGGACGAATTAATCTAGGAGAATTCCGTAGTTTTGTTGGTTCAGGTCTTGGCGGTAGTGCAGGTTACGGCTCAAGTGGATTTGCAGATGGAGGCTACGGCGGAGCATCAAGCTACGAATCTTCTTCGAGCTACGGAAGTGGAGGATATGGCGGTGCAGGATACGGAGGTGCATCCTACGAAAGTTATGGTGCAAGCGGTTATGGTGCTGATGCTGGTTTAGCAGGTGGTTATT